AATTTGCGTCAGGTTACGACCAACTCGGGATATGCCCAGAGTCACGGAACGGATTAAGTTCGTAGCCCGAGGTACCACTGTAATGAGAATGTCCTGGGTGAATGAACAGGGGAACTTGAATGGCAAGAGAGAAAAAACAGCACAGAGACACAGAACTCTTTTAAGCAGGTTAATATCTACAGGAATGGGAAGCATATTTGCTTACCAAAATAATTTGGGCTATCTGGCCAAGCATGCCTACTCTTTCCTTAGAGCACTTGCATTGCTCAGAAATGCAAACTCATGGTGATTTAGAATGAAATAAATTATTAAGGAAAATCGAATGTGTATGTTCTTAATATTTTCCTTTTTCTGCTGTTTTCATTGATACACTTAATAGTGAGTGGTGGCATTACATATTTTGTAGATGCAGAGGAGGAGCCAAAGTTCATTTTAACACTGGTAGAAATCTCGGCTGATTCTGTGGAATGTAGTAGTGGCCCTGCTGCGCTTCCACACGGTTCTGAGGAATTGCTTCCCGCGCCAATACTTTTCACCTCAGATAATATGGACTCATTGGAACTGACAAGAGATGAAAGGTAAATATTAATATAATCTTTAGTAAACTGATGCTAACCCTTGGAACTTCTTAAGACTGGAGACTGGACTGAGTCTAAAATTTCCCATCCTGCCTACCTGGCCTAAAATTCTGCTTATTTCTTGGAGAAGATTAACAATCCTTGCTCTTCTTGACTTCTTAGCAGCTTTTGATACCATCAATCATGGTATCCTTCCGGACTGACTCCAGGAGTTGGGGGCAGATGGCACTGTGTTGTGCTGGTTCTCCTCCTTCCTCTGGGGCCAGTTCCAGTCAGCGTTGATAGGAAGGGAGAGGACAAGTTTGCGGTCCCTTTTTTGTGGGGTGGCAAAGGACTTGGTCCTCTCTCCCCTTCTCCACCCCGGGCTGTCTGAGTGATGCCATGGATGTCCTGACCCTGTGTCTGGAGGCTGTGGGGGCCTAGGGGGGGCACAACAGGCTTTGGCTCAACCCAAGCAAGACTGAGTGGCTTTGGACGTTTGGACCTTCCAGTGCCGGGGATTTTCCACCTTTGGTTCTGGATGGGGTGGCACTGCTTCAGACAGACCCAGGCACAATTTGGAGGTTCTCTTGGACTCACAGCTCCTGCTGGAAGAGCAGGTAGCAGCCATATCTAGGAGGGCCTTTGCACACCTTTGGGTTGTGCACCAGTTGTGGCCAGTCCTGGACTGGGAGGCTCTGCTCACTGTCACTCATGCCCTCATGACCTCTGTCTGGACTACTGCAGTGCATTGTACACAGGGCTGCCCCTGAAGAGCATTCAGAGGCTTCAACTGGTGCAGAATGCAGCTGCACGGATAGTAAATGGTGTCAGTTACTCAGCTCGTGTAACACTACTATTCTGCATTGGTTGCCAGTGTGCTTCTGGGTGCAGTACAAGGTGCTGGTTGTCACCTTTAAAGCCCTTTACAACTTAGGACCGAGTTACCTGAGGGACTGTCTTTTCCTAGTTGTTTCTACCTCTCTGATTTGGTCTGGCAGGATGGGCATGTTTTGGGTCCTGTAGGCTAAGGAATGCTGGTGGGTAGGGCCTAGAAGACGTGCCTTTTCTGCCATAGCACCTGCTCCATGGAATATTCTCCATCCAGAGATTAGGATGGCCCTGACCCTGCTGGCCTTTCACAAGGCACTAAAGAACTGGTGTGAAGGGTCCCATCTCCTGGTTGTGTTAACAGCCATTATTAGTGATATCTTCCTTGGCTCCTGTGTATTTTAATTTTTGTATCTCTGATGGGAAT